AGGGAGCTTATTCCACTGAGTCTGGCACGGAAAGCTCCCAGTTCTACCACCATTACAGTTTTCAGAAGGTAAACTGATGGGGAATGGGTAGAGAATTGCCTTTGCTCAAAAATAACACACTCCCTAGTTTTCATCTTTTCCCTGACCTGTCAGAACTTGTTTCCACAGTTTGTCTTCAGGCATCTATTTCGTGAGAACAGCTCCAAAAATTGCAGTTTTATTTTCTGCTGTTTAGATTTCTGTGGTGTTGCTGTATGAGGCTCGGACCAGCAGCCCACAGGATCACACCTCAACCCTTTTGGAAAGAATACTTTCTTCCTGGAAAATATACAAACCGTATCATACCACTACATAAAACATTTTATGGACTGCAAAAACTAAAATAATCCAAAAACGTCTGGGAATAGCGGGGAGCATAAGTACTTTTGGCTGAATTTACTCAAGATACAAATAAGAATGCCTACTGCTGACTTCTGAGAAATCTACACTTCCCGTCCCTCTATCTATTTATTCCGATTTTAATATTATAAGAAACCACAGTTTATCTCATCATAAGCTGTGCTTTAAAAAGAAGGGGGGAAAGAGAGAGGGAGAGAATTCACAAGTAAGTTTTTCTGCATCCTCCACCCCCAGCTGATTACACAACTCTCACTCTGCCTTCCCTCTCCTGTTCTTGATCGTGACCATGCAAAGCTGTCAGAGTGCTGGCCACGTCAACCAAGACCAACCCAGCTGGCCACAGCTAAGTTCAAGTGCCAGGGCATGCTCTGAAGCTGGGCCACAATGTCAAAACAGCCTAGGACAGCTTAACCCTATGATTAACCACCTCTAAACTTGAGCATTAGTAAGACTCCCGTGGATATTTCCCAACTAGTCTTGAACAAGAAATCAGAGCTAACTCTAGCAAGTACGAAAAGAAATTACCTAAAAAAAAAAAAAAGGGAAATGAAGCGTTTTATTAAAAATGCAGAGGGGAAAAAAAATTGCTATCAGATTTTTTTGGAGAATGCCATACATTTTCATATGTACCAGAATCACAAAGGTGTTGAGTTTTGCACTGTCTCTTCCTCTTCACCCACAGCACAGACCTTCCCCAGGCTGACCAGTCCAGAAGCTGAACTGAGTGGAGAGTGAGAAACAATGACCTCTGGGGTCTGGAGAAGACAGGCAGGAGAAGCAGCACTGACAACAGCAGAAGGATTAGAACAAAGGAGCAGTTGATACCAATCGTAAATCACAACCAGCATCTACAATGGCACCCCAAAATAAGCACCACTTTCAAGCATTATATAAAATTATAACAATAGAACATTACTAAAAATAAAGCTAACTTGGTATCAAGTCCAGTCACAGCAAAGAATCTACTTTTCACACTGGTAAACGGAGACCCCATTGTGTGATGCCGCGAGCGCAGACTGCCTACTTTTCAAATTTTATTTATTTTTTCAGAATCCTCTTCAAAAAGGCCAAAGACTTCACATACAGGCAGCACAATGAACCACAAGTCTGTGTACTCAAACTTCCACTTTCTTTTTCCTAAACAAAAGCCATGTGTACATAAACAAAGTGGAATCATGCCCATTGCTATCCAGACACAGTTTTCATTCTTGCAGACATGTCCTCTCCCACTGCTTTTCCACAAAGTTCTGGCATCATGTAGCTCACTGCTGGAACGGGGCAAGGCCAAACGCAGCTAAGTGAAAGCAGAAACGTCTCTTTAAAGATGACATTTTGAGACATTGTGAAATAGAGAAGCATGAAAAGTGACTCAGTGGATAATGGGTTCCTGTCATCACCAGCAAACAGAAGTTCTCTGAAACTAAGGGATTGGGGGGGAGGAAGACAAGGAGGAGAGGCATTGCACAGACTCACTCCTCTGGACTTTAAAAGATGGCTTACCAGTGGAGACTGTCTAGTTGGAGGAGAGAAACTGTGAAAACAGGTAACTGGAAACAGGTTTGTTATCCTTGATCTCAGCAGTACTTTGTTCATTGGCTACTGTCAAAGGGCAATACACCAGCTGCAGCTCTATTGACACACAAAATGTGCCAAGATTAGGAAGCAAATACTCTTTTTGGAGGGGAGACGAAAGGTCAAACTTCACCCACTGCAAAACCAGAAGTTAAAAAAAAAAAAACCACCACAAAAACCCACACAACTCTGAGAGAACAAAGTACAGTTCTAGGAACATATGGATCTGCCAATTCACAGATAGGAAATGAGGGAATTGCCCCCACAGAGGTGGTGAACAAAGTAAAGCAGAGCCATAGGGGAAAGGTGGGACTTGGTGTGAGTGAGAGAGACACAGAAAGACCAGCACAGCTCAGGAGTGAAAACACAGAGGAAACACGGCATAAAAAGCAGGAACTGTTCATTCCTGTTGCCTGTGCACCTGAAATACATAACATTCCGCTCTGTGAGCCTCAGATTTGAGAATATATGAAATTCAAGGAAAATCTGGAAGTAGCAAAAGAAACGAATTAATGAATTACAGAAATGTATTTGAAGTTAAAAAAACAAACCAAAGCAAACAAACAAAAAAAACCATGAGCTAATCTAAGAAATAATTAACGCCTGGAAAGCAACACTATTAGAACTTCAAAAAAACCCATGAGCTAATCTAAGAAATAATTAATGCCTGGAAAGCAACACTATTAGAACTTCAAAGTTTTTATGGCCCACTACTTTAAGTACTAATTTTTGGATTAGAGTGGAGATAAAGTCAGAGGGGATGAACCTGGCACATATCATAGGCTTAATAACAAGGGGTAACGAAGAGAAACTGAAAACAATTGAAAACAGCAGCTGTCTGTCAGTGAAGGTCTCAGAAGAGAGACTTGGATTAAAATCTGGACTGGTTTGCTAAAGGGAAGGAGGAGTCATCAACGGGTACTTTGAAAGCCAGATTGGGGAAAAATTCTACACAAAACAAAATCACTTGTAGGAACAGTTCTGTTCTGAAAGGATCAAATTATTAATAAATTCAAAACAAAATAAACAAAAACCTTCTAATTCCCTCCCATGAATATCACATACACATTAAAATAACTGTGCTGTTTATGCTGAATTATCTACACCCAGATAACACATTAACCATAGGTGATATTAAACAACTAACACAAGAATTGCATTGCCAAGCTACCCTGTGGGTGTATTTTAAACACGTTCACAGAAATCAGAGGCTCTTGCCCTGCTATCTTCCTTTAATCATCCATATGCACAAGGATAATATCCACCCTCCGTTGCAGCTTTCATGACTTACTGGCGTTTATAATGAACCACCAGGGATGCCTAATCTTTGCAAGAAGAGAAGCAAAATATCCTAGTCAGTGAACACTGAATTATCATTATGCAAGTCATCTCTTCTGTCTTTTAACTCAACAGAACTCGAAAGAGATAAGATTAATTGTAAGTAGAGACAGAAAGGTTTCTGCAGGCTCATGCCTGCAATATTTCCCCTGGCTTGTCCCACAAGCCAGCCGTGTGCAGGGAGTGATACTATTACATGGCTTAAATACTCACAGGGAAAAAAATTACATCATCTTATCAATATACCTGCAATCTCTCTCCTTTGAAGTGTTTTCAAACCTTTTAATGTTGACATAAACTATAACTTTCCGTTACTTGTAGCATTTATTCTTTTGCACATCTCTTAATTAGACATACTTAAAATCAACTCAAGTTAAAGATCTTTCAGTTTTTCTATAGTCCAAGTCTCATTTAACAGATGCGCTGGCCTGGGTTACCCCGAAACCGACAGCATCTCCATTCAGGTGCAAATCATTTGTATATTTCAACTCCTCCCAAGGGAAACAAAAAAGTTACACAATTTCCATTTCTCAAACCACGAACTCGGACCTTTTGCTTCTCCTCCCCCTGCCAATTCCTCTACTTCCCTTCTGCTTTCTCCAGCAGCTGCTCCATACACTTCTCCCCAGGAAAAAATAGGTCCAATGCAACAAGTAGCTCTGATTTAGTGACGACTCCTCAGTTTGACTCCTGGCTGGGGTCCCCAAAACAGACCCCCTCCTGTTTTCTCCACTCCAGCACAGCACCTACACGTTGCATTTTGCTGTATTAGAATCCAGGAAGCTCCTTCTACTTAATGAGTCAGAGGAGCTTTAAAAAGAAGCTGCAAACCAACAAAAGGATGTAGCCCGTTACCTATCAGTTCTCTGTGGATTACAAAGCAGTATTTTGTAGTCAAAAATAACTGCTCTTAGTCACAGTTGTCTCCCAGACTATTTCATCTTTGGTTTCTCAATTACAGTCTCAGTGATGTAGCATCCATGTTATAAGAAGTAATGAGGAATATAAGTTAATAAAACTCATTCACAGACATCACACGCTAATAACATTTTCTCTGTCTGGCAGCACAAGATCTAAATAAGGAAGCAAACTTGCTTTTAAATATTGAAAGTAGAGTTGAAAACGAAAAGAATTTGCTTTGAAAGACAGCCCACTTTTTGCCTGCTTATCAAAGATGTAGCCATGCATGGGGCTCTAGAAAGAACCCCCTCTGAAGCCAGTTGGCATCCCAGGAAAACACAGGAACATCTGGCAAGCGCCCCAGTGACATTAAAAACCAACTAGATGCTAGAATAGGCAGGTCTTCACTCCGAGAAATGGGTTAGAGGGGCAAGGGAAATGTAAAATACAGTCAGCAAGAAGAAAGACCTGACTCAGAATAAACCTCTTTTCCTTTGCCAACAAGTCAAAAAGTTGCATCGTGGAACACGAGAGGGCCGATGATCAGATCTGGTGAGTCTAACAGAGAGTGCTCCTGAGCTCTGCCCATTTTACCCAATGCAGATTCACTCGCTTCAGGCAAGACAGTACGCTGATCTTCAAGAGAAGGGGAGAAAGTACACAAAACACACCATGCATTCCAAAATCAAAGCTTTACAACCGGTAAGCAAGTAAGAAGCTTTAGAAGTGGGCACACACACACCAAAAAAAAAAAAAAAAAAAAAAAAAAGAAAAATCCCAAACTAACTTACCAAAAAAGTATCCTCAAGATGTTGGCGACCAGTAACACCAGGCAGACGTAGGTGGAGAAGCCCTCTGCGTTCTGCGTCCGGCGGATGTCCCTGTACTGGGGGATGTAGGGCACCACCCCGCCGAACACCATGGCCCCCGCCGCACCCCACGACACCAGCTGCTGCATGGGGACCAGCAGCCACTCCAGCCCGCCCGTCTCCATGCCGGGGGGCCGCGGGGAGGCTGCCCCGGGGGCAGTCACCGTGGAAGGGAAGGGCCTTCCGCCGCCGTTCTTCGCCGGAGATGGGCTTCAGCCTCGCACGGGCTCCGGGAGGGGATGCGGCACCATGGCTGCGTCCTCTCTGGCGGGGCCGGGACCTGGGGGAGCGGAACGGAGCCGGTCGGGACCTCAGCCTGCCCGCCTCCCCCTGCTCCCACAGCCCGCCCGCCGGGATCCAGCGAACCCCCCCACACACACACACCCCGGCCGACCTGCCGCTGGCGGGCCGGGGGCTGCCCCCGCTCCAACCCGCCCTCACAGGGGCTCCCTTCACGGGGAGAGCCGGCCCTACCCACCCTCACAGGGGCTCCCTTCACGGGGAGAGCCGGCCCTACCCACCCTCACAGGGGCTCCCTTCACGGGGAGAGTCGCCCTCACAGGGGCTCCCTTCACGGGGAGAGCCGGCCCTACCCGCCCTCACACGGGCTCCCCTCACGGGCAGAGCCGCCCCAACCCGCCCTCACAGAGGCTCCCTTCATGGGCAGAGCCGCCCTGCCTCACAGGGGCTCCCTTCACGGGCAGAGCCGCACCCCCCGCCCTCACAGGGGCTCCCCTCACGGGCAGAGCCGCCCCAACCCGGGCTCCCTTCACGGGCAGAGCCGCCCCAACCCGGGCTCCCTTCACAGGGAGAGCCGGCCCCGCTCCGCCGCCCCAACCCGGGCTCCCTTCACAGGGAGAGCCGGCCCCGCTCCGCCGCCCCAACCCGGGCTCCCTTCACAGGGAGAGCCGCCCCAACCCTCCCTCACACGCTCTCCGCCGCCTCGGACACCTCTCTCCAGCGGCGGGGGAGCGCCAGGCCCCAGGTGCGGTGGGGCAGGGAGGGCACGGACACCGGCACCCCCCCTCCCCCGGCTGAGAGAGCGGGGGGGGCCTCCCTCACCTGCCCGCGCTCTCCCCGCCGCCGCT